GCTCTATCCACTGAGCCAAACCAGCTAGGGCACTTCTAATTTATTTCTAAAGTAGTCCTAAGGATTTACCAGCTGAGATAAAATGGAGCTAGGGGTGGGATTATGGGTTTGAGGAAAGTGGAGTACAGAACATTTGAAATAGCTACTGTGAGAACAGCCAGGTTGCAAGGTAGGTTCAATAAAAAGGCAACGGGCATGAAGCTAAGGGAAGAAAAAGATGGAGAAAGGCTCCTAGAATTAAGTGGGAGGGGGACGACAGTAAAGCCAAGACGGAGTTTACAGATGGGGGATGACGAGCAGTCACGAGACGGGCCTATCCCGGGGCAGGGACAATGTCAGGCCACCCTGTCACTAGCCACCAGCTGCAGGGACGGGGACACCTACACTATATCAGCCATGAGCCATGGGGTGGGGAGAGGAAAAGTGTCTGTCTTCCAAAAATAAAACACCACCATGAATAAAACTCTATTTGACATTGATTCTGTATGAGACTAAAGCCAATAGATACATTGTAAACAGATTTGACCCAATGTTAAAAATAAGGAATCATAACAGTCATAAAAAGTCATAAAAACAGCCCTAGCTGGTTTGGCTCAGTGGATAGAGCCTCAGCCTATAGACTCAAGAGTCCCAGGTTCGATTCCAGTCAGGGGTGCCTGTTGTAGTGTTAGGATAGATTGGGGTCCCAGGGAGAGCTGGGGCCTGCCCCCGGGTGTCCATGTTCCTCCGGAGGCTTAGGGGGCAGCAAGAGGGGACGAGGGCCCAACAACTGAGCGCAGCGCCCCTTCCGCCCCAGCCTCCAGCCGAGCAAACCCACATTTATGTGCAAAGAGCTGGACTTCCGCATATTCATTTGTTTAAATCAAGTGAGTTTTTAAAATAAAAAAGTGCTTTTGTGTAAGGAAATAAATATTTAAAAACACCCGGACTAGGTGGTTTTTAAGTTTCCTTCCAAGCCAGAGGGTCTCACCTTTTTTTTAATGAATTGATTTAAATATAACTATTTTTAAATAAATTTTAGATTAGTTTTAGACAAAAAATTTGTGAAGACAATACATGGAGTTCATGTATACTCCATACCAACTTTCCCCTGTTATTAACATTTTACATTCACAGGTACATTTGTCACAATTAGTGAGCCAATATTGATACATTATTGACTAAATTCCATACTTTATTCAAGATTCCTTGTGTTTTACCTAATGTCTGTATTTTCACTCCAGGATTCCATTCAGGGTACCTATTCACATTTATTCGTTATATCTCCTTAGCCTCCTCTTGATTGACAGTTTCTTTAAAAAAATATATTTTCATTGATTTAAGAGAGGAAGGGAGAGATAGAAACATCGCTGGGGATCGAGCCCACAACCTGGGCATGTGCCCCTGATCGGAATCGAACCCAGGACCCTTCAGTCCACAGGCTGATGCTCTATCCACTGAGCCAAACCAGCTAGGGCGACAGTTTCTTAAAGGTTTCTGATTTTTGAAGAGCTCAGCAGCTTTGAGGCGTACTGAGCCAGGTACTTATAGAATGTCCCTCAACTGGGATCTTTTTCTGATCTTTCTCTCCTGATCATACTGGGCTTCCGGGTTGAGGGAGGAAGACCACAGAGGTAAAGTGCGATGCTCCACATACCATATCAAGAGTACACCTAGCAACATGACATTGTTGTTAATTTTGACCTTGATCACCTGGCTGAGGTAGCATTTGTCACGT